ATTTAAATCACACGTAAGCCTAATCTTGCAAGGAACATTGTTTTCTTTAAAGAAAGAACCGCTTGGAACCACTGCGACTTCTAGCGGACAAGTATAGCGTTTATCCACAGAACTACGCATTTCATTAATTTAATTGGAAAGCCGGGAAGGTCCGATACTGGTGACAAAAACGTCTGGACGTACTTGTGACAGTTTTGCAAACAACTTCTTAAAACTGTTCACTAAGAAATCAGTTGCAACAAATTCAGCTGCACACAGAAGTATCACTTAAAAATAATCTCAATGAGTCATACATAAATTATATGAGGTTTAGGAACACCAAACTCACATAGTTTAATAAACACAGCGCCGCCTGATTATAAAATAACAACAACACGAAATATTTCAATCATAACATTGACGAAAATATGAGATAGACGACCGGTGTAACCACAAAATAAAATATTTTTCTCTTTACCACCGCTTACAAACTGAGCTTACTGTCGTAATCTCTGACACTAACTAAATATCTTCACATAGTGCCGAGATTATGATGCGTGGAGCTATATTTTAGTTCAAACAATAAGACTGCTTTAAATTGTTTCCTTATATCACTTGTTCTCAAAAATAATGTATAATGTAAACACATAATGGAAATATAAACTGTATGATTTACATTACATCTCACAAGATATTTAATAAAACATTTGACGAAATCTGGTTATTGGTTCTGCACTAAGTGTTATCGGTCGAATTGCATTCTGATTTTTGTAAATGGCTAATATTATCTGGGGTCCATACATGGTAGTATAACGTTAAAATTTATAATAGAGAATCAGGGTGTAACACTAGTTCAAGACAATATGATTAGTACTGTAGAGAATGTTCGTGTTCCTTAAGAGACGATGCAGTTTATGGCCAGCTACTCCATGAAGTTAGGTATAGATCACTCTGAAATTAAATTCAATCAAATTTCTCACAGATGGCTTCTTATATATATAAATAAAAAATAAAAAATATATATTGTATATTGTACAATATACAATCTTATATATATAAATAAAAAATAAAAAAAAGTTGTGTAAATATACGTCACATTAAGTTCTATAGCTTTTACATTTAAAATTTTGTTTCTGTTTGTTCACTGTTGGGTTTTATAACTGTTTATCAAACTATGTTCGTGGAAACTAGGATTACCTAGAATCTCGCAAGTAAATGTATATTAAAACTCTAAAGTTCTCGATAAGATTCTGGAATACTGAATGCTGGCATATACAACGACAACCCAGTTCTCTAGCATTATTACTAATATTCCGAAAATTTAGGATAAGAAAAACAAATATTTTCCTCATTAATTCCGGGCATGATACAGAAAAACTCAACTTTAATTTCCCTTACACCCGTGTTTCTCTTTTGTGTATGCCGTTATCTCTGTTCTCTTTTATCTGTAACTTTTAATCTTATTTTGGGCTGCGTCAGTGTTTCTGAGACCGTAAAACAGTATGGAAAACGTTGTGTAATAAGAAAAATATAATATATCCCTCCAAGCACTGTAATATATCCACACTTCTAACACATTTATTATGTTCTCTACCACCTATAGTCACAGAGTTATACTTGTTTAATGTTATTCATTACACAGACTACGTCAGCGCGCATTTATATCACCTTCAGGTAATTCACATATTATCCTCTTACTGCACGCCAAGTTCAAACGTATTATCATGTGTTTCCTGTCTTCCACTAGTGAAAATAAACTAAACAACTAACTCCACGAAGCAGAGTCCTTGAAAGGCTGATACTCGCTCAACTGATTAATAAATTCTACGCCTATTATGGAACCACAAAGATCATTTCGTGTTATGAAGTTAATGCCAGTGAACCAAACCCTGACCCAGAAAAATCCAGTCCAAATACTCATACTCCATTTCTCTATAAATAATTTTTTGTAATATTTTACCTAAATTGTAACAGGCATTCTCAGAATTAGTCTAGTTTTAATTTCTCCGTGAATGTGACTTTCATTTATTTAAGATTTGAAGATCTCACGACAGTGATGCTGGACTTGTAGGTAAGCGTTCTTTCGAATCATCGAGAGGTCATGTCTGTCTGTCCGTTGACAGATGAAGTGCCTGAAGATAAAGAGTCTTCTTTTCCTAAGAACTAGTATCTATTTACAATCAATCTTATTGATGTTCCTAAACATTTTATCTATGTGACATTTTCTAAGGACAAATTACAATCTTAATATTATGATTCTGTACTGAATGCTTGTTACAAAATATTACATCAAAGAGGATCTTCGTTAGAACAATGGAATCTAGGAGCCTGTGAGAGGCAGTGAATGTGGCTAGTGTGGACTGTTGAATAGGATTTGAGGTTTTCACAGCAGTGAGTCTGAATATGGCGTTTCAGAGGTCCTTGCTGCTTCCATCGCCCTGATGATGGAGGCAGCAAGGACCTCTGAAACTCCGGTAAAC